CGAGGGTGCTGCGGCCGGGCGGCGGGGGAAAGGAGAGGGGCCGCCGCGCTGGGCAGATCATTGGATACCGACATGTGTCGGTCGCGATCGGTAGCGACCGATCAACAATCCAAATCGGTCGCGACCGATCGCGGCCGATCCCGAAATCGGTCGCGGCCGGTCGCCACCGATCGCGGCCGATCGGTCGCGACCGATCGGGCGCGACCGATGTTGAAGCAAGTCGGTCGCGACCGATACCGAAACTTGAAGCGAAATAGGCAGCGACCGATCTCGTCGGTCGCGACTGGAAACTTCCAATATCCAATGATCAGGGTGGGCCGGGAGGGTCTCGTGCTCGCCCACGGCCGCCGCCCACGGCCTTCTCTTCGGGTGCAGCTGCTGGGAGTTTGGCATCAGCATCGGCGCTGGTATACTAAAACGACGCGAAGATCGGGACAAGATCGGATCGGGATAACTCGAAATCTCTGAGGATCGGCGGGTTTGGAGGATGTATTGGGCGCCGCGGCCGCTCCAGAGCGTTCTGGAACGCTCTGAGAGCGCTCCGGAACGCTCTGGAGCGATTCATCCCGATCCTAGCCCTGTTTGATCCTTCGGGTGCAGCTGCTGGGAGTTTGGCATCAGCGTCGGCGCTGGTGCACCATCTTCTGGCTTATCAGCCTTCGTGCTGGGCTTCATCTGGGCCAGTCTGGCGCCCTGTCCCGTTCCTCGGGCGTGGCTCATGGAGCGTGGCTCTGTCCCTACGAAGACCTCGCGGGAGTTGCTCCCTAACTCCTCCCTCCTCGTCCTCGCTCCTCCTCTCCCTCCTTTCCCTCCTTCCGTCGGGCCACGGTCGAGATCGAAGCAGCAGATGTTGGCGCCGCTCGAAGCGGCAAGCAGCGCCCGCTCACGGGCGGGCCAGCTCTGTCGGCCTCCGGGGGGCCGTCTTGTGAGGGTTCCCTGTCCCCTCCCCTTCGTCTCCCTCCTTCCCTCCCGCTCCTCCTCATCCTGCTCCTCCCTCCTCCTCGCCCTCCTCCTCGGCCTCCGCCCTCTTCCTTTCCCCCCCCCTCTTCGCGTGAGCGGGGAATGGCGGCCGCGACTATGGCCCCGTGTCCTGCAAGATTCACTCGTCATCCCCTCCCACTCTCACCCCTCCCTCCCCCCTCGCCCCCCTCCTCCCCTCCCCTCCCCTCCCCCTCGCCGGGCTGCCGATGCCGCCTGCGGCGCTCACGTCCCCTGACCCTGCTTGCTGCTGCCCCCATTCCCCTCCTCTTCCTCCTCTGTCCATCCCCCGCCTTCTCCTCACCCTTCTCCTGCCACTCCTCTTCATCCTCCACTTCCTCCTCTTCTTAGCCGCCTCCGATTCTTCCTCCGCAACCGCCTCCTTCTTCTCCTCCTCCTCCTTCTCCTCCTCCTCCTCCTCCTCCTCCCTTCATCTCTGCTCCTCCGCCTCCTCCTCCTTTTTCTTCCTCCTCGTCCTCCTCCTCCTCGTCCTTTTCTTCCTCCTCCTTCTCCGCCTCCTCCTCCTCCTCCTCCTCCTCCTCCTTCCCCTCCCTCTCCTCCGCCGCTCCAGCAACGATCCGCTCACTGCGGGGTCCCTGGACCCCTTCCCCGATGGCCCCCCCCCGCGACGCGTTTGGCCCTGGAGATCGCGTGAGGGCGGGCCGCCCAGGCGGCCTGGAGTAGATGGGGTCGGAGGATCTCGCCGCATCGCCGATGCATCGGCAATGCATCAGCGATGCGGCTCGATGTGGGGCACAATTTTCTCCACGCCGACGTTGCCGATTCATCGCCGACGTCGCAAAGTGTATTCACCGATGCATCGCCGATGCATTCGCGATGCGGCGCGATCCTCCGACCCCATCTACTCGGACCCCATCTAGGAGGCCTCTAAGGACTAAGGACGGGAGGAGGAGGTCCGGGGCACCGTTCGGGGGGAGTGCACCTCGGTCGTTGAAATTAGTGTTTGCTTTGGCTCCCCAGGTCCCAAGCTACTTTAGCCGCCTTCCTTCTCCGAGGCTCGAGCGGCTTTCGCTCTTCCCCTCGCCTTCAGGGGGCGAGCAGAAGCTCAATGTATCTCCACCGCCTTCCTGCCTCATGCTTCTACCCATTTCTTCCGACCGATGGGTACAGTGCCGTTTTTCATACATGCTCCGCGTGCGGATCATGTATGAAACATCAGGGATTTAGTATGAAAAACAACGATGAGCTCGTGCATAAACTTATTCATACATTGTATGAGAAACTCATGAGTTTTTAATCCTATGTATTAAAAACTGCCCTGTAGACTCACCGCCTTCATGCTTCATGTTTCTACCCATTTCTGCCTTTCACTCTCCCTTCGCCTTCGGGGGGCCAGCAGAAGCTCAATCTATTTCCACCGCCTTCCTGCTTCCTGTTTCTATACCCACGTCTGCCGACCGATGCGTAGACCCACTGGTGGCCCCATCGACCCCCCAATTCGCCCACGGGTCGCCAGCGGAGCCGCCCCTCGGGGGGCTCTGCCGCCCCTCGCTCGGCGAGGCATCGCGCCGAGCTCCCGGTCGACGCGCCCCCCCCCTCCGGAGCGGGTCCTCCCCTCCCCGGGGAGGCTCTCAGGATCTAGAATTCGACTGGACGTAAGAGTGACCTTTCGCCGGAGTGACCTTTGGTGCGGGCACAGATGGTCCCCCAGATGGCTGAACGCGAAGCGGCAGCAGCGGCCTGCGCGCCCAGGTCTGGTCTCCCCGCGGCCCCCCCGAAAGCCGCGCACCAAAGGTCACTCTTACCCAGGGTCACTCTTACGTGTAGCCGAAGAATCTAGATCTTAACATTAAGACAGCATGATTATAGATCCAGGTGTGAAAAGTAGATCCCCGCCTCAGAACTAGATCCAGGCCTCCAAGCTAGATGGGCCTGTCGTCCGGGCCGAGAGGAGCGGGTCCTCTTCCCCCGCTCCTCTCGGCCCAGACGAGAGGCCCAATCGCCAACCGATCGCCAGCGGATCCGCTCCCAGCGGAGTGGGTCGGACGGGGCCAGGACGAGGAGAAATCCGTTCCAGAGCGCTCCGGAACGCCCTCAGAGCGTTCGGGGACGCTCTTGGGAAGGCCGCGGCGCCCGAGACATCCTCCAGAGCCGTCGGATCTCAGAGATTCTCGATGTGTCCTCACCCGATTTTATCCTCGTCCTAGCTTCGTCTTAGTCTGTCGCCCATCTGTCGGCGAGGCGTCGCCGATGCCTAGTCGACGTGTCCCCCCTCCGGAGCTGGTCCCCTCCCCGCTCCTCTCGGCCTGGACGAAAGGACAGGATACAGTGGAAACCCATGCCAAGACACGCCCCGCTTGCCTGCAGAGTGCCCTGGGTTTCTTGCGTTTCGATGGTTCTGCTGTGGACAGCGTGACGTTCCCGCGCCAATGACCCGTGGGCGTCCTGGGGTCTCAGGGGCGGGTTTCTTGTGGGAGGCTTCGTGTGGTCGAGCTCCTGCTGTACGGGAAAGGGGGAGTTACGAGATCTGTTGCACGGAGCTGGTTTCGGCCCCGCCGTCGGGCCCCATGCCTCGATGCGTGGGGCGACCCAAAGAGGGCCTTGCCTTCGAGGGTCGAGGGAGTTGCCCTCTCTTCCGCGAGGGAAGGTCACCGCCCACGAAACCGCCCCAACCCAACCCCCGAAGGCACCGATTTGCCCTTCAGTTCCAGTGGGCGGGGGGGTCTGGGAACAGATGGAAAAACCACAGGCGAAGCCCGTATCCCGCGGGGGGGGTGGGGGGGGGCGGGGAACATCGAACAAAAAACATATGGAACCCGTATTCCCTCCAACCCGAAATTCGGGTCTTCGGGTTGGGCTGGGGTGGTCCTGGTAGGTCGTCAGAGAAGGGCGGCGGAAGGAAACCGGCGGCGGCTCCGCCGGCGGAAGCTCGGCGGAGCCAAGCGGAAGCACACATCTCAGGAGAGGAAAAAACACACAGACACAATTAATCCTCGATTCCTCGGAAAATATAGGAAAATATGGGAAGTGGGGGGGGAGACAGAAACCCAGAAAATATAGGAAAAGATGGGGAATCTGTTTATTTGTGTGTATTTGTTTTTGTGTTCTGGGGCCCCTTCAACATCGGCCTCCCAAGAGATGGCGAGAGTTTAGGGTTCAGGGCTTCGGAGTCGGGCACATGGGCGCCTCCTGGCGCCAGGAGGCGCCGGGCGAGCCCGCGACGCGAGCTGACTCTCTGGCCTACCCTCTGCTATCCGACCTGGAAGAGCAAAAGCGGCATCAACATAACCTTTCGGAGGTCCGCGCGGATTTCTTGGATCTGCACTGGAACCCTTTGGCGACGCCTCCGGCGCCGCCCGGGCGCGCTCCGGGGGGTCTAGCGCGGATCCGAGAAATCCGCGCGGAACGGCGAAAGTTTATGTTTGTGCCGTTTTTTGTTTCTCTACTACCAGTTTCACCTTTGCTATCCTACCCCTTCGCTGCAGGCCTCGGAAATAATAGCAAACCCGCATGCCACATTCATCGGTCAACGCCTCCCCCTCCCCCCACTGTTCAAAGTTGGCGGTGGGTCTGATGAGTGCCATTTCGACCGCAGTCTCCCCCACGCGTGCCAACTTCGAGTTTTGGGGAGCGGGGGAGTGCCCACGAATTGGTTCCCCCTACCGTATCCTTTGCTATCCTGCCCCTTCGCTATCCTACCCCTTTGCTATCCTGATTCTCTAGCCTACCCTTTGCTATCCTAACCCCTTCGCCCCCCCCCCGGTCCGGGGAGGAGGGGCGGGGGGAGGGAGAGGACAGGACGCGACGGGACAGGCCAGGGAGAGGACGGGGCGGAAAGGACAGGACGGGACGGGCCAGAGCAGGCCAGGACAGGACAGGGAGGAGGGGCAGGACAGGCCAGGCCAGGACAGGACAGGACAGGGGGAGAGGCAGGCCAGGCCAGGCGAGGCCAGGCCAGGACAGGACAGAGGGAGAGGCAGGCCAGGCCAGGCCAGGCGAGGCCAGGACAGGACATGGGGGGGAGGGACGGGGCAGGACAGGCCAGGACAGGACAGGGCGACAGGCGTCATCCCGCAGCGCCGCCCCCGCGCGGGGCCCACCCGGGCGCGGGCCCCCGCCGCGGCGCCCTCGGCGCCATGGCCCAGACCCTCGCGCCGTACCTGGACCGCACGGGCGGGGTGCGGTCGGCGGGCCGGGGGGCGATCGCGAGGGATTGTATCCTCGCTCTCGAGCCGCCTTGGTCCTCCTCCTCCTCCTCCTCCTCCTCCTCCTCCTCCTCCTCCTCCTCCTCCTCCTCCTCCTCCTCCTCCTCCTCTCTCCTCCTCCTCTCTCCTCTCCTCCTCCTCCTCCTCCTCCTCCTCCTCTCCTCCTCCTCCTCCTCCTCCTCCTCCTCCCTCCTCCTCCTCCTCATCCTCCTCCTCCTTCCTCCTCCTCCCTCCTCCTCCTCCTCGTCGTCCTCGTCGTCCTCCTCCTCCTCCTCCTTCCTCCTCCTCCTCTCCTCCTCCTCCTCCTCCTCCTCCTCCTCCTCCTCCTCCTCCCCCCTCCTCCTCTTCCCCCTCCTCCTCCTCCCCTCCTCCTCCTCCTCCTCCTCCTCCTCCTCCTCCTCCTCCTCCTCCTCCTCCTCCTCCTCCTCCTCCTCCTCCTCCTCCTCCTCCTCCTCCTCCTCCTCCCCTCCTCCTCCTCCTCCTCCTCCTTCTCCTCCTCCTCCTCCTCCTCCTCCTCCTCTTCCTCCTCCTCCTCCTCCGCCTCATTATGCGGTCGTGCCGTGACCTTGCAGCGCAGGCTGGAAGGCGGGAGGCAGTCGCGAGGGAGGAATGAACCTTGAGGTCCGCCGCCGAGCTTCTGCAGCGGTCTCTGGAATCAGAGTGCGATAGGCTACTGATGATTCGCTGCCCCTGCCTAGTCTGCACATGTTTGTAGTTAGTGGTGTCAGTACCTGCTTGTTCCTCCATGGGCCCGTCGGGGCGGGCCGAGAGGCAATCCGTGGGTGGGCAATGATCCGCGGACGCACCATCCGGTGCCCAAATTAGCTAGCCAGAGATCCCGGCGTTGCGATTTATGCGCGCCGGGCGTTTCGCCGGATTTCTGGCCCCGGGACCCTCACATATGAATCCGGCTGGACAATCGCCGCGGCGAAATTGGGTCTGGGGCTCCTTAGTCGTGATTTCTCGCGATGTTGACTTTGTTTCGCAGGGTCGGATCTCAGGGAAGAGTAACAATGACGAGCTCGTCGTTTTTCAAACGTGCGAGTGTGCTCTATCGCTCATTGCTCGAAGCACTGGCACTTCGTCAAGAACAGCATGCTCATGGGGTCGTCCGGTCAGCGCGACGTTGATGCTGCTGGTGATCTCCGAGGTAAGCAGGCAACAGGCACGCGGTGTCCAGGCCCTGCAGGACGCGCTTCCACCATGCCGAATCAGAGACCGTCCTGCCCGCAGAGTTTGTGATCGTTGTTCAATCATTGTTTCGCCGATCCGCGCGGGCTCTCGCACCCCCCCTCCCCTCCATGGAGCAGGTCTTGGCTGTTTTTGGGCGCTTGTTTCAGGCAGGTGGAGTCTCCCCCACAGGACGCACGATTGCAAACAGTCGCGCTAAGCAGAGGTCCGGAGCCATAACCCCCCCCCCTCCCCCCCTCCTTTCCACCAAATGTCGAAACGCCGAATAAGGAAACGCTCACTTTCTGGATCCCCGGAAGGCCTCTGGGACCCGCTTCGTCCTGGAGCAACCCACGGGGGCGAAAGGCCAGCAGCGAATGTGCCCCGCAGATCTTTTATGTCAAGGGAGGTGTCGCATCCAAGGCGCCTGCTGTAAGGTCCCAGGCGTCCGACGTCCTGAGGTGGAGATGGGGGGGGGGGGGCGGACGCGGCAACGTTGAGATCCAGCCTGGATCCTGACCCCTGGAAGTTCCTGGGCTGTCCCTGGAGGCCTCCGGAAGCCTCCCGAGGCCTGAGATTCGGCCGCGCGCCCGGGGGGAAAGTTTGAGGGGGCGGGCCTTCTCGGAAGGCTCGGAAGTCCGCCGGCCCTCCGAGAAGTGCTCTGAGCCTTCCCCGAGGACCCAGAAGAGACTTCTCTCGGAAGGCCAGGGGGCGTCTGAGGGGCCCCACCGCCTCCTGAGAAGGCCTAATCCCTCTCACTTCCCCCCCCCCCCTGATCGCCACCAGCAGCTACCAAGAGCATGTGTCGAGCACGTCGAGCGCGGTGGGCAAGCCCGAAGGGCCGCGCGCGGCCGCGGCGGCCTCGGGCGCCGGGGGGGCAGAGCCGCCCAGAGATATGGCGGGCGGGGGGGGCGCGCCCGGCGCGGCCGGCAGGACGTCATCCGCCACACCCTGAGCGCCTCGTTCTGCCTGCAGAGCTACCCGTCGCAGGCGCGGCCCGCCCGGCCTGCCCTTGGCATCGCTCGGACGTGTGCATTTTTCCTTCGGCCAGGGCCATCGAGGAGCATCCTTGATCATGTGGCGAAAAAAAAAAAACCACGCACGAAACCGACAAAAAAACACAGGAAATGGACGTCCAAGCGATGGCGAGTGCCGCCCCGGAGATTCTCGACGCTCCGGCAGAGCTGGATCGGCGCTCCGGCTCTTCGCCACAGTCGGCCTCTCGGGGGGCCCTCCAGTGGCCCCGGGGTCATCAGAGGACTACTCTTACGTCGGGCGTGCCCTACTGGGGGATTTTCTATGAAAAATCAAGAATTCCCCAGAAATATTCCAAAAGGGTCCAACAATATTCAACAAAATGGCCCCCCACATTCTTTGTTCACTATTTTTGAATTTTCCTCCTGTAGAGGGACAGGCCCGACTTAAGACTACTCAGGATGAAAAGCCGGCCCTTGGGAAGTGGTCCAGGCCTCCGGGGGCCCATGCAGCGAAGAAGCAGTTGAAGCGCCAAATGTCTGGGTCGCCGCCATCCGATGGAGTCGCCGTGCGCCCGGCCGCGGAGCTGAGGCTTATTGTTTGTGACTTCGGCACGCGCATTTCTCCGACAAACGTCAGGAGGGGAAAAAACACACAGACACAATTAATCGTCGACTCCCCCAAAAATATGGGAAACTATGGAAAGTGGGGGGGAAGTCAAAAACCCAGAAAATATGAGAAAATATGCGGAATCATGTTATTTGTGTCTATTTATTTGTGTGTCCCAGGGCCCCTTCGGTACGAAGCACAAGGTAGCCGGAGACTGCCCGCAGTTGGGGCTTCACCCTCTGGAGGCCGCCGCCCAGCCCCGGGACCGTCAAGAGACGGGTCGGGCTGAGAAACCGGCCGTGGGGAAGCTGCGGGGGCTTCCGGGGACCCCGCATCACAAGCAAGTGCTGTGGAAGTCGATTAATGGAGAGGAGGCATGCTGCCAAACAATTTCCAGATGCCCAAAAGATGGTTCAAGCATCTTTTAATATATAACAAACATGTTTGAAACATTTTGGGAACAGGTGTTACACATTTTAAACACAACTGTCATTCAATGCTGCCTCGATGCGCACGTTTCCATACGCAACACGTGCCGTGCTCAAATCGTCCGTTCCAACACGCTGCGTGCTGGCTGAACGTATTGGCCCACGTTTCGGCGAACGTATCGCGTCAGGCCCACGTTTTCAGGATACGTGTTTTGAGCCCCGTATCAATACGCTACATGTTGCGTGTTGCGCATCGGGGCAGCTAAGCAGACAAGTGGGATCGCAGGTGATGTGGCTCGCGCCCGTGGCCGGCGGCGCGTGCAAGTAGACAAGACCCTCAGATGCAGGTTGCTTACGGCATCGGGGCGCAGATCAGTAATTCGGTCGGTGCGCGCCACGGCGACGGTACGTCCTGACCAATGGAGCAGCGGTGCTCGGCTCGCGCAGCACAGAGTTAGAAGGGCACACCAGCGCAAGCGCACGGCCTGCCATCTCGGTGTGCATGACCGTCCGATCAGGTGCTGATCAAGTATTGGATCAAATCCCCATGCTCCGGCGTTGCTTCGTCAGACATCCGCATTGTTGTCATCCGTACGGGGATTGCAGTAGGTCAGTCTGTTTCGCATCGGTCGATGCTGTCATCCGCGGCCCAAGCGCGGGTGGCAGCTGATGCTCTGGCGAACGCATTCAGTAATGAGGCTCATGTCGTTCATGCGCACGGTTGGAAGTTCATGCAAGGCCCAGGTAACCCGCACGATTTGAGTTTGTCGCTTGATTTGTTTGGCCTGCTCTCGGTACCTTCAAGCAGCAGCGCTCGACGAAAGATTTTTGTCACGATTTCAAGCCAGCACGGCGGCTTCAGGTCGTGGAGCGGCAAAGTCGCCCGGAGATCGAGTTCAGAGATACTCCTGCTGTTGTTCCGCGGGCCTGCGGGGAGGGCACGAGGGTTTCATGCCGCAGGGTAGCATGTCAGGAAGAACAATTGATCATTGCACCGTTCGATACCGACTTGTTCTCGAAGACGCCTACGGCGAATCACCGCCGCCCCCTGCCTTTTAGAATCGCCCATGTGGCCGCGCGTTGTGGCAAGAGCTCTGCCAAGCTATCGGACCCTGTATGCCCCCAGCCGTTGTGAAAACCCTTCGGGGAACACTTGGGGGAGGATGACCGGAAAAATCAGGAGGAGGAGGTTGAGGAGGAGGGGGCATTTGGGGAGCCTCTCGGGGCACTCTTGGGGCCTCCTGGGAGCTTCCTGGGAGCCTCTTAGAGGCATCTTGGAGGCCTCCTTGGGCCTCTTGGGGGTCTTGGGGGTCTTGGGGGGCATCTCGGGGGCCCCTTTGCCCGTCTTCAGGCGTTCCTGGCCCGTCGGAAGCCGTCTTGGGGGCCTCTTTGGGCCGACTTGGGGCCCTCTTGGGGTGCTCCAGGGCCTTGGAGGCCATCTTGGGCGTCTTGGATAGGATTCAGCACGCCAGGTACACTTGTGGCAAGCCAACAGGGGGCGGCGGATCGAATAGCCTTCGGCCCATGCCGCCACCGTGCCTGGGATGTTGTGGGTCAGGGATGCTTGCTTCTTGGGGTCTCTTCGGGGCGCTCTCGGCGGCCTCTTGGGAACAGTCTTGGGGTCTCTTCGGGGCCTCTTGGAAGCCTCTTGGGGCTTCCTGGGGGCCTCTTGAGGCCTGCTGGCGGCCTCTTGGGGACCTCTTTGGGCCTCCTGGGCGCTTCTCGGGGCCGAGCGCTCGAAAGTTCCGTTCGGGTCCCCGTCGGGGCCCCTCTCGGAGCCGTCTTGGGGGCCTCTTGGGCCGTCATGAGCGCCTCTTGGGCTGTTTAGAGGCCCTCCTGGGCTGTATATTCAGGAGGGGAAGAAACACACAGACACAATTAATCCTCGATTCCATAGAAAGTATGGGAACATATGGGAAGTGGGGGGGAAGACAGAACCCCAGAAAATATTGGAAACTATAAGGAAAATGAGGATTTGTGTGGATTGATTTGTGTGTCCTGGGGCCCCTTCAGTTTTGGGGCGCTCTTGGATGCCTCTAGGGCCGTTTCGGGTCGAGCGCGGGGGCCTCTTGACTTTACAGGGGGGCGTCTGGGGGGGAGCGGCGCGCGCTCCTCTCGCGCACCCCTCCGGGCATCGTAAGCTTGGGCGTGGACATCAGAGGCACACACCGATCCTGCCACCTACTCCAGATTTCGTAATAAAGGGAGGGGGGTCTCATTTCGGGGGGGGGGGGTCTCTTCCAGGCCATCTTGGAGGGCCTGGGGGGTCTGGGGACGATGTTTTGGAGGGTTCTCCCACGGGGGAGGTCTGAAATGGCTTGTCTTGGAGGGTCCAGACCCCCTCCCTTTTATTACGAAATCTGGAGTACATCATGTCCATCCTGAGCATGACATTCGAGCACCCCGAGGATGAGCGTCGTCTCGCCTCAGGTACTCAACTGATCGGGCCCCGCGTGCCGCACAACGAATCCGCGAAACCCTCGCCAGGTTCGAGGTGGCGCGCCTCGAAGCACAGCCGGCTGGATTCGACATACCGAAGTTCAATTCCTCACTACAGCCTCTTTCGGGCCCTGGGAGTTGGCACCCAGAGGGCCATGCAGTTCGTACAACCATTGAGCCACCAAATGCCACGTACCCAGGTGGATCACGAAGCCCTTATCGACCGCATGCGGTCCGTAGGACAGCGCTGAACACAAACCAGCCGTCATTGGATAAGCATTCGAACGAAGTCTCGGTGGCAATCGCCACGCTCACCACGCATGCGCCACCGACACTCCGGAGCCTGGCAACGGGCCCACTTTCATTACTTGGGCAGACGATGTTGGCGAGAGCACTGCTCTGCTTGCCCGTTCACAGGCTTCCACCAACAACGGCGATTCCTCGACCTGGCGGACAGGTCGCCTGCGACAGCCCCCCAGCACACCTCCACACTTCGGGGCGAGGCACGTCCTATGGAGTCAGCATGTGCCGCTGACGTCGACTATGTCCCTTGGACTGACTACGACACTGCATCCTCCAATGTACCGATCCTCTGGACTGGATAGACGTTCAGAACATGGATAAAGACGGACAGAGGGCTGAATATTTATTCTGACTGTTACAAAAGGGTTAGCGGAGGTGGGGGAGGCTTCTTCGCAAGCCAGCGCGATGGGCAGTACGGAAGGTCCGGAAGATAATCGGAAGCAGGGTAGAGGCACAGGAGGGCGGGGGCGCTTGCACGGATGGGACATTGTTTCATGTATAGTCAAGTTCTCAGACGACCGATGCGACGGGGTAGGGTAGTATTGTGGGGAGAAGGCAAAACCCGTGGCGCCAGGTTGGGGCTGTGACGTGGACCTTCAAGCGCCATGAATGTGGTTGTGAAAAACATGTGGTCGAAGACTGCCCCTCAAAGGGAATTCGGCGGCGCTCGCTTCCGAAGCTCAGAAGCCAGAGAACCAAAGGGAAAATCCGGAACGCGGTATTAGCGATGTTTTGATTTGACGGGAGAGTTTTTGTCTTTAAGGTCTCCTTCACATCGCGTGCGCCTGTTTCTGAAGGCGCTTACCGAAAGCTGAGATGTGTGCCGCTCGGGGACTAGCCCTGATTGCATTTATCTGCAGTTATTTGCTATCCACGCCGGGACCGGAGGACGTCTGCGAGGAGGCTCCCGACGCCCGGTCTCGAGGCTTGCTGGCCCGCAGTGCCGCCTTGAGATTGGGGGAATGAGGCTGTTTGGGTTCAGTCTTTTTCGCCCCCCCCTAGTCTCTGGAGCTTTTAGGGATTGCTGACTCAACATCTCGCGGGCCGTCTTGCCCGACGCACTGATCACGCTGTTGTGCGCACATGGGGCACCGGACAGCCAAGTGCTGCGCTGTCTCTCCCCCGTTCCCCGACGTTGCAAAGGATGGGTGTCCGAGAGGACGCGACGCGCGCTTTCCTCTGCCGGTCTTGGCTCGAGTTGCGCACACCCTATGTGACCACCGATCGGTGATCGGTGCGACTCGAGAGGGAGAGGATCCCCCATCATGATCTCCAGCCAACACTGCTCCCTCTTCCAACCTACTTCAGAATACGGCAGCAAAAGTACCATGTGATGGCGTTGCCGCGCTGACGTCGGCCTCTCGGGCCGTCCTGGAGCGTCGGGGTGCCGAACACTGGGCAGCGCCAAGCTCGGCTGAGAACCATGGGGATCCTCCTTGGAGGCCCCCTGGAGGCCGCTTCGGGCGTCTTGGGGGCCTCTTGGGCCAGCACGATGCAGGGCCCTCTTCGACCGTCTTGAGGACCCCTTGGGGCCCTCTTGGCCCATCTGGAGGCCCCCCCTCGGGCAGATCAAGTCGCGCGACGAGAAGCCGCGCCGCGCCCCAGGGCCCTCTTCGGCCGTCTTGAGGGCCTCTTGGGGCCCTCTTGGGGTCCATCCGGAGGCCCCCCCCTCGGGCAGGTAAAAAATCGCGCGACGAGAAGCCGTGCCGCGCCCAGGGGCCACGCAGCCCGACCGTCTTGAGGACCTCTCGGGGCCCTCTTGGTCCATCTGGAGGCCACCCCTCGGGCAGGTAAAACATCGCGCGACGAGGAGCCGCGCCGCGCCCCCCGGGGGCCGCGCGGCGCGGCCCAAGGGATCTGGCAATTTTTGGGGTGCCAGCCCACCTGCAAAGGCTTCGGTGCTGCTTGGCATCGCTCGGACGTGTGCATTTTTCCTTCGGCGAGGGCCATCGAGGAACATACTTGACCATTTGGCGAAAAACCCACGCACGAAACCGACAAACACACAAAAAATGGACGTCCAAGCGATGGCGAGTGTTGAGGGTTGAGGCTTCACGGACGAGGTAATTACAAAGGGCCTGAGGACATCCCAGTTCGTGCCTGTAGGGCACGGTGGAGGGCCAACGATGGAATACGAACGCGAGTTGCAAACAGTGCGCGCAGTCACGTCTCAGCATATTCATCCATCTTCGAGTCGAGCAGGAACTAAGTTACTCACGCGTGATGGCAGGACTGCGAGGAGCATGGATTCTGCACCACCGAAGCGACAGGGTGTTCGAACAGCATTGAGAATCACACACTGCGGCGCTCTCGTGAGTTGAAATTTCGGTATTATCCGATCGCGCATGAGGCCATAGATTACGCTTACCCCATTCCCTCAACCGCCAAAGGAAACAGGGGAAGAATGAGGACGACGAGACAAGCACTAGGAGGAGGAGGAGGAGGAGGAGGAGGAGGAGGAGGAGGAGGATAAGTAGAACAACGAGATACAAGTGAATGATGGCACATGGGGTGATGCCTCTGGATTACGGCAAGTCGCAAAAGCCGGACATTGTTCGGCATTATGTTGGAAGGACGGGGCGCTTCACACTACACGATGCACGGTCGTGAGATTGTACTCACTAGGGACGCCATTTACAATGGAACGGCGGGGGCGGGGCGGGTCACTGTCAGTTTGTGGGCCTCCAGAGACCTCCCGGGGGACCTGGCTGGCACACTGGCTGGTGCAGGCCAGACTGGTACCCGGGCTGGGACCAGCCAGGTTGGTATACCTGCGGGTTCCAGCAAGCCTTGGCACCCGGCTGAGTACCAGCAGGACTTCCAGCCTGGCTGGCTGGGTACCAGCCAGGGCGCCAGCCTGGCGGGTACCAGTCGGTGTACCTGCCTGGCCGGTACCAGGAGCGATTGCATTCTGGGCGAGCCCGTGGCATTATGTCGGGCGTGTCCCCCTACGGGATTTTTCAAGGACAAAAAAACATACATACTCCAAAAAAGTCCAAATTTACTAAACAAAATCCTCCCCAGACTATTTTTGGAGCATTTTTTGATTATTTCGGGTGTATTTTTATTTTTCGTCGAAAATCCCCCTGTAGGGGGACAGGCCCGACTTAACCGTGGCACGGGCTCCTGCGCGTGGGCGGGGCAGGTGCGCACGTTGCCCCTCTCTGAGTCCGAGGTCTGCACGCGCGCAGGGCTCGGCAGCTGCAGTGGGCCCTGGGCTCAAGGGAGGCGCTGTGCATTGCCCGCGACGAGAACGAGCGGTGTCTCATCGAGCCCTCCGTCAATTCCGTGCGCATGAGCATCAAGGCTCGAAGCTTTGAAATCTCTGGAGCAGCCGGAGCACGCCTGAAGTCGGGCCTGTCCCCCTACAGGGAGATTTTCTCGACGAAAAATGAAAATACCCCCAACATAGTCAAAAAAATGCTCCAAAAATAGTCTGGGGACTTTTTTTTGAATTGTTTTTACCTTTTTGGGGGTATTTTTTGTTTTTCGTCGAAAATCCCCCTGTAGGGGGACACGCCCGACATAAAGCACGCCTTTCCGCCCTCCCCGGGCACCCCCGAGCGCATGGGCGCCAATGCTGAAAACCGCAACGTTGGCGCATGCCATGCTGTCCTTCTGTTGTGTAATTCACTCCTCGTCTCAATCCATCCTCCTTCCCACATCCTGTTTCTTCCTCCTCGCCTCGCCTCCTCAATCTTTGTCCTCATCCATCACCGTCCTTCTTCTTCATCCTCCTCTCTCCTAGCTACCGTCCTATCCATCGATCACCGTTTTCTCTTCTTCTCTCATGGTCCAATCCTCCTGTTGTGCTGACCTCTCCCGCATTTGTGGTAGCCGGTGTTACCACTTTCTGCAGCTCTTTGCCAGAGGATGAGTGGAGCAATCATGACGTCGAAGAGAGGAAGGAGGGTGGGAGGAGGAGGAAGAGGAGGAGGAGGAGGAGGAGGAGGAGGAGGGGGTCTGTCCGCAAATGGGCGAGAGTGTCCGCAAATGGGCCGAGCGTCCGTGCGAGTCCTCCTTCCCGTTCTCATCCCCCCACCCGTCATTCTCGTTTTCCCCTCCCCCCCCGCGTTCTCGTTTTCGTCCCTCCTCCTTCTTCTCCTCGCTGCCCCCCACACACACACACCCTTCGACATCGATCCCAGGACCTGTCCCCCCCCGTTCTCCTTGTCGTCCCTCCTCCTCCTTCTCGCTCTTACCCCACAACCCTTCAACATCCATCCCAGGATATGCCCCGCAGCGCTCTCTCGGTGCTGGACGCCGAGGCCAGAAGTCAGCCGTGGCGACAATGGCCCCCCCCCACGAGCCCCAAACAGGGCCAAGGACGCACAGAGTTCTCGATCTTCGAAGTTCCGCCTTTCCTCTGCCTCCTCCTCGTCCTCCTCTTCATCCTACAGTCAGGGCCCTGGAGAAGGAACCCTTTTCGTTGGGGAGGGGCTCCGCGTTCCGTAAGTGTTTCACAGCTTGCTTCAGGTTTCCCTTATGTTTTTCGATCGGAAACCGAAGTTTAACCCATGGAAAAAAGGGGCCTCGTTCCTCATTTAGGGTTCCTTAGGTCAACGCCCCGACTGTACTCCCTTGCTTGTTTCACAGGTGCGCCAATCAGACGACACGGAGAGGATGCTGTGCCGGAAGTTCGCCAGGTTGGGGGGAGGACGGGGGCATCGACACGGACCCCGCAGAGACCACTCTTTGGAATGAGCGATGTTGTGGCTAGTGCGATGGTGGCTATGCTGTCTCCTTGCGCAGCTAGACCCCACCCAAACAGGCTTAAGCACCGTTTTGAGATCTGCATGGTGGTTGGCTGGTTATGTAGGCGGTCCACGCAGGACACCAGTACGAAATGGAATGGTGGTCAGGAATTTTGGGATCGTATTTTGATGACTCGGATTGGTTGGCACACTGGCTCAACCACCAACGCCCTAGCCATTTTGGAAATTCGAGACCACGGCACTGCAAGTTCAGACCCCCGACGTCACATGTGGGCGGCGGAGGAGGAGATCTCCCAGAGGTCTCCTGGACGTCTCCTCCTCCAGAGAGGAGGCCTCCCCTCCACCTTCCTGAGGATTCCCGCCCAGACCTTTTGGGAGGTGATGGGGGGACCGGTCTGTGGCGTCCGTTCCACTTCAGCCTCACCCCCTCAACTTCCAATCAGTGGTGTCGGACTGTATTCTCCGGTTTCGGAGCGCTGCGGACTCAAGCATGCTCCATGCTGCTCTTGGACCAGGAGGGGGAGGCTTCCTTACATGCGACGTCCTGACGAGGTCAGGGCGGCAGTCCTTATCCTCAAAGCTCGGGCCTCCCGCAGGCTCGTCCGGGGCCCGTAAAACAGGGCTAGGATCGGGATAAATCGCTCCAGAGCCTTCCGGAGCGCTCTCAGAGCGTTCCGGAACGCTCTGGAGAGGCCGCGGCGCCCAATACATCCTCCAAACCCGCCGATTCTCAGAGGTTTCGAGTTACCCCGATCTGATTTTGTCCCGATCTTCGCGTCGTTTTAGGTCCTGGGGACGGGGGCGAGTGCTCACAGGGGGGGCCACGTCATGGAAGTACCGCGGCAGTGCGCCCAGGTCTCCGACGGTCTGACCCTGTGCAGCCCCGGCGCTCCTCCTCGACCTCGGCCTCGGGGGCCCGCTTGTGGGGCCCGGGGGCCCTCGGAACTGGATCCTGGACGAAGAACTTCGACCACACGCAAGAGTGACCTTTCGCCGGAGTGACCTTTGGTGCGGGCCCAAGTTCGATGCTCGTTTCGGGGACCTTCCTGGGGGCCACCTAATGGATCTGTTCGACTCAGGTTCGACTCAAGTTCGACTCAGGTTCGACTCAGGTTCGACTCAGATTCGACTCAGGTTCGGCTCATGTTCGACTCAGGTTCGACTCAGGTTCGACGCAGCTTCGACGCACGAGTGGAGCGAGTGGCTGCAGGAAAGTCCCCAGAATGAGCATCTAACCCAAGGGGGCCCCCCATCGCCAAGCGCGATGCGGTATGAGCGTCTTGCGCGCTCGTGGTTGGTCCCTCTGCGGCCCCCAATGAACCGCGCGCCAAAGGTCACTCTTGCTCAGGGTCACTCCTGCGTGTAGGCGAAAAACTACACCTGGGGAAGTGGTCGGGAGCTCTGGGGCGGCGGATCGCAAAAGCCCGAGCGGAGGATGGCTGGCAGCGCTGCCCGTCGTCCAGCGCGGGGCGTGGAGGGGCCGAGTCGCGCGCGGGGGCGTCGGAGCCCCCCGCGCAGGTTTCACAAGCGCCAGCGCAGGGCGATGCTCTGGGCCTCCCTGTTCGCCTGCCACGTCAGGGTGGCCCTTCGCCAGAGTGGCCTTCGCTCTCGACAATCTAGGCCTCCCAGATGGGGTCGGAGTAGATGGGGTCGGAGGATCGCGCCGCAGCCGATGCATGGCCGATGCGGCTCGATGCGGAGCCCGATTGGCCTCACGCCGGCGTCGCCGATGCCGACGATGCATCGCTGGTGCATCGCCGATGTATCGGCGATGCGGCGCGATACTCCGACCACATCTACTCCGAGCCCATCTAGGAGGTCTCTAGAGGAGCGCGGGGGGGGGGGCGGGGCAAAGCCCCCCTACGCATGCCGCAGCTCTCGCACCGCGAGCAGCGTAACGATCGGCACGTCGTTCGCCGGCTTGCCAAGAGCCCCTCTTGTGTGTAGTGCGTTTTGTTTGGCACCTCCAGCCGGGCGAGCGGGACAAGAGCCCCCCCTTTTCTCGCACGCGAGCTGCAGCGCATCGTCTAGTTTGTTTGGGGCGTCGGCTGAGCATTACAGTGGGGACCCATGCCAAGAAACACCCTGCTTGCCACCAGGATTTGGGTTTCTCTGGGTTCGATGGTTTCGCTATGCAAAGCGTGACGTTCCCACACCAAAAATCAGTGGACGTCCTGGGGGCTCAGGGTTGGTTTCTTGTGGAAGGTTTCTTGTGGACTGGCCGCCACTGTATACATGACTGCGGTTGTTCTTGCAAGACGGAGGAGGAGTAGGAGCGGCAGCAGTTTGCAGGATATTCCAAGATGCACCAATGTGGAAGCCATGCCGAGAGAGGATGCCGACTGCTGGTTGGTGCACTTGTGATGAGCAGCAGGGGAGTGGACGCGAGCACCACGCATCCCAATAATTGTACGTGCGCGCTGCGAAGCCGTGCTCGCAAACTTGGGGGAGCGATGACTTGTTTGACCACGCGGTGCCAAGGGCAATCATCACAGGCAAAGTCACGCCACATATCACGTAACATGCAGCAGCAGTTAGCATCGTTTACGAAGCAGCGATGCCATCAGCAAGTGGGCGGTAGCAGCATCAGTGCCGAGTGCCTGCGATGATGTGTGAGGTTCTTCACCCAGAGAGCCGAGCACTTCGTTATACTTCGCCGGAAGCCTGTAGAGGCGTCACAGCGCAACCAGCGAGTAAACATGAGGCGCACGCAGGATAGGGGAGACGCAGAAGACAATTGGCCACCAAGGGTTGCGTGCCCACGTTTCGTTGATAGCGATAAACCGTGGGGTGATGTTGCGACGTCGCTGTGTGCGGGCGCGTGTGGGTGACGTACATCATGTCCCATGTACGGGATGAGTTCTTTCGCATGCGCGACGTTGGTGTGAGGCAATGCATGAGCATTGCCACCGCTTCGTTAAACATGGTTTGGGTGACATGCACGACTAGTTCGACGTAGATATCGTTCTGTGTTTTGCAAGTGTTGTGTCACGTGGGCTGTTGCATGCAACAGGTCAATCGTGAGTTGGTTGAGGCACGGTTGAACGAATGGGACGTTTCCATGCTACTAGATCATAAGATGCGTTCGGTCATTTGGCAATCGAAGAGCCTTTTTCACAGGCAGCCGCTATGCGAGCATACGGTTGTTATCGCGCCTGCCCAGACCGTCTAACGTACCGGCCCCTCGGAGGCTGCGGATTGCCAGCGCACGTGAATTTATTTTCATACCAGCACTTTGTGACATGCGTGTGCAGTTGATCTGAGAGTGCTCTGCTATCAACGCGTGGCGTGTCTCCACCCGCGCCACTTATTGTCCATGGATCGCGCAAGATGTTGCAGATATCGTAATCTGACGCGTGCTACGTCAACAGCTGGTTCGTGTGCTCCCACTCGCGCGAAGCAATTGCATACTTGTCATTCCCAGGGATACGACATCAGCTTCCTGATCACGAACACACATTTGGAGGCTGCTGTTGGTCTCCCTCTTGTGGTTTGTCAGGGCAGCTGTGGGCACGTGGAGCCGCAATGAAGCCGAACGGACAGAGATCGGCTGTGGCCGATGGTGTGACACGTGCGACGAAGAGCATGGTGGGCAAGAGATCGCTATGGACGCACATAGCTTGTACATCGTGCCACCGCTTGCTCCCCAGCTCACTCCACCCCTTCGGGTTAGGCTTCGCCGCCGCACCTATGATGAGACACGAGGGCGGCGGGTACAATACGGGTATAAGGTGCAGGTTGGGGTCAGGGTTTGTTTGCAGCCTTGTGCAGCGAAGTGTGGTCCCATCCTGGTTTGAGCATATATCGCGAGGAGATGCAGAAAGACAGGGTCATTGATTTCATCATTGAGTTCATGGAGGATATCGATAAGGAGATTAAGGATCGACGCTTTGTCTGTCAAGATTGGAACGGGGCATCGAAATGAAGTTAGGATGCTCCATCCCCTCCTCGTCCTCACACTTCTCATTTCAGTTGCTCCCCCTCACCGCCTCGTCCTCCTAGTCCTCACTACCCTCCCCCAGCGTTTCTGACCCAGCCTCCCTCCGCCCACTTCCCTCGCCCACCTCTCCCCCTCTCCCGTGCCCCCCTCTGTCCTCTGAGACCAGAGACTTAACCCGAAGAGCCCATGGCTGCACCCGCACTGGGCTCCATGCCAAGGTGTGCCTCCAGGTCGCCTCACGCTGCCGCGAATAGAATCGGCCCCTCCGCGCTTCGCGGCCTGAGCATCTTAGCGGGGGCGGGCCGAGATCGCGAAGACGAGCGCGCGCCACCCAGCGAGAAGCGCCAAGGCCGGTGGTCTGGCTTCCCGACGCAGCATCGCGGGCCCTCCGAATAGGCTCGGGTGCGGCTGCCTTGAGACCGGCGCTCCTGGCCCTCAGATGATGCAAAAAACGCGGGGGGGGGGGGTCGTTTTCCGTATTCAAGATCGACGTGTGTTTTGTGTTATTCCGTTTTGGGGGGCTCAGTTTTTTGCATCCCAGTGTTAAGATTCTCGTTCGTGCGGTTTTTGTTTCTGTTCCGTCCTGTTTCGCCGTTCGTTCTGTGTTGGATTGCCGATGTGTTGTCCCGTTTCGGTTCGACGTTAACATGTCCTGGCCGAGCCCCTGGACGCTGCCGTGCCACCGTGAGTACGCCTCCTGGGGGTCAGTGCCGGTGAGAGTTACCAGTGGGGAGCTGGCGTGAGTGCGCCTCTGCAGGGGGGGCAGTGCCGCCCTCCCCATGGGAAGCGAGCTCCTGGGGGAGCGCCCTCCTTGGACCTCTTCTCGCACGGCACCTTCGGGGTGCTGTACCGACGTGGACGGCCTCCTCCTCCTCCTCCTCCTCTTCCTCCTCCTCCCTCCTCCCTCCTCCCCCTGCCGGGCCAGCTGGGGGGGGACGGCGCCGCGCCGCGCCGGCGGGAGGGGCGGGCGGCGACGCGTCCCGCGAAGCCGCATAGCCTCATGTCCAGGGCCTCCAGAGCCTCCTCCCTACAACCACTCTCTCTCCCTCCACCTCTGTATGGCGGAGCTCTTGCAGCCCTTCGGGGGAGCAGGGGGAGGGAGGTGCCTCTCGCACATCCCGCGCTCGTGAAGCGCAGCTCCTCGCGTCCTCCTCCTCCTCCTCCTCCTCCTCCTCCTCCTCCTCCTCCTCCTCCTCCTCCTCCTCACGTGTAACACTCACCCTTGGCATCGATCTTTGCGCTGTGTATTGGTCGCCGCCACCTCAAAGGCCTATTCCACGACAAATGAACCAACACGCTGAAGCTGACTGGTGCGTCCCTGAAGCAGACATGCAAAAGGCATGCCCCATCCTCGCGTCCCTCCTCCCCCTCTCATCCCATTACCGCGCTTCCAGAGGAGAGGGCCCTCCATATCAGCACCGCTCCTCTCTCCTCCATCCTCAATGCTCCCCCTTCCCAACGTGACGTGGTGACAGACTGATCGCTCTAAACATTGCGGTGCTCATCCACCCCTCCCGCACCCTCCCCGACCCTCTCTTGTCTCTTCCGTCTTCGTCCTCCCTTCCCTCCCCTCGTCCAGGTGCTACCTCGGCGCTTCCCCGTCCTCTCCCAGGGATGGTACGCAGGACATCTCCTAGCCACCAGCCCCCGCCATCAGGCTACGGCTTGGGGTATTCCCCGAGCAGTCAGTGTCCCCCGCTGACAGGTCCTGGCGCTACTTACCCCGAAGGGCCGACGCATGGCGGCCTGCTCGTAGGCCCGGCAGTGTGGTCCTCCCTCCTGCTCCTCTCCCTCCTCCCTCGTCATCCGGCTCCTCTCCCTCCTCCTCCCTCCTTACTGATCCCCCCTCGCTCCTGCACCCCCCTCCTCATCTTACGTGTGCTCCAGGTCGTGTACTCTTTCGCCCACGCATTCTCCTTCTGCCGCTTCGTCACATATTTCGCCTTCCTTCTGAGGCAACGGCCTCCTGCGCCCTGCCCAACAGGGCACGGGTACATCGTTGCCCGGTACCGGCGCCGTTCCGTTCCGCTCCGCAGATCCTCCTCCTCCTCTTGATTATGATGATCCTTCCTTCCCCCCTCCCTACTGATCCTTCCTCCTCCTGATCCTTCCCTCCTCCTGCTCCTGCTCCTCCTCCTCCTTCTCCTTCTCCTCCTCCTCCTCGTCCTCTCATTCCTCCTCCTCCTCCTCCTCCTCCTCCTCCTCCTCCTCCTCCTCCTCCTCCAGACCCCCGACTGCATGATTTGCGTCATGACGTCGACCCGCAGAGATCTCGGCCCCCATTCCCTGGGACCAGGTTTTCATCCTGAGTCTTGGTTGACTGTCCGAGGCTTAGTAAGGGCGCCCAGAGGCAGAAAATTGCCAAACACATCCCGTCGTGATTTGTGTGATAAATCGAGGAGGTCTGGGGCCCCTCCCCTCCTTCCTCGCCCTCGCTCCCAGGATCTACAGATCACTCTGAACACCTGGCTGAGGGCGATCCTCAGCTGGTTGTTCAGGGCGATCCTCATCCTCCTACTCTTCCTGATCCTTCTCCTCCTGATCCTCTTGGCCCTCCTGATCCTTCTCTCCCCCCTCCTGCTCATCCTGATCCTCCTGGTCGTTCCCTCCTTCCTCCCTCCTCCCTCCTCCTCCTGACCCTCCTGCTGCTCCGTGCACCCTCGCTCCCAGGATCTCAAGATCGCCCTGAACACCAGGCTGCGGGCGGCCGCCACCGCGTACATGCTGCAGTTCGGGCAGCGGGCCTGACCCCCAGGCGCTGCTCTCTCTCGCGGCGCGGAGGCCCGCTGGAGACGAGGCGAAAAAGATGTCGCCGGGACCATCCTCCTTCGAGTCCTTCGAGTCGTCTCGGGGGCCTTGAGACGGGGGTCGATGCAAACGGGGGTCAGTCAGAGCGCACGATCTTTGCAGGATCGAGCAGAGTCAGGGTGGCATTGATCCTGGCTCGGGCGCAGGATCCTGCAGGATCCTGCGTCCTGCAAGACCTGGCTGGCCCAGGTTCGGGTTGACGACTGACCCGGGCCAGTAGATCCCCGATCGTCCACGCGCAGGCGGGGAACAGTGGGCGGCTTGAATAAGGAACACTTACTTTTCAAAAGGGGCTCGGTCGTTCCTTAGGTTTGCATGCGTTATTTGCAGTTCCTTATGCGTTATTTGTTATGTATCGTTCCTTATGCGTTATCCCTTGGGATAAAAAAGGGGCTTCGTTCCTTATGTATCGTTCCTCAGGTCAGGCCGATGACTGTAGGAAGAGGGGGGAGTGTCTTCTCAGAAGCACCCTTGCTTCTTGGAAGGCGCGGGCCTTGCCTGTAGATGTAAGGCCGGCGCCTTCCAAGAAGCAGCCTCCTGCGAAGAAGCCCCCCCCTCTCCCCCATAAACCCCTCGTGTGCGCCGTCGGTCGACGTCTGTTCTCGAGAGTGCTCCCTGCCCTGCCTCTCCCCTCCCCCTCCATATAACGTAACGCTCCCGCCCCCAGCGCGTCCCCAGCACTGCCGCAGTGCGTCTAGTGCGGCACAGGGGGGGGGGGGGGGGGGGGGCACTACGTTAGTTATGCCCCCTCCCGCCCCCCCCCCCTCCTCCCCCCCTCCTCCCCCCTCCTTCCCCCCCTCCCCCCTCCTCCCCCCTCCTCTCCCCTCCTCCCCCCTCCCGCCTTCCCCCTCCCCCCCCCCCCTGCTACCCCCATGACGTCCGTTAGGGCCGCGATAAAAAAAATACTCAAGACAGCTCGTCGATTGGGCCCCATCGCAAGCCCAAACGGCGAGCATAAATCGGGCGTAGCCCCGCACGCATTCGAATACCCACACTTCGACCTCGTACTACTCGTATCCCCCCCCACCTCCTCCCCATCCTGATCGTCGTCGTCCTCCTCCTCGTCCTCGTCTTCCTCGTCTTCCTCTTGCTCCAGCTCCTCCTCGTTGTCCTCGTCTAGGGCCTCGTCCTCGTTTCCCCTCTTCCTCCTCCTGCTCATCCTCCTCCTGATGGCACCTCGGCGGCCGAGATAATACCGTCTCCTATCGGTTGCGCCATAGGTTGCGCCCTCGGCGGCCGAAAAAAACACCGTCTCCTATCGGTTGCGCCATAGGTTGCGCCCTCGGCGGCCGAGAATAAAACCGTCTCCTATCGGTTGCGCCATGGGTTGCGCCCTCGGCGGCCGAGAATATACCCGTCTCCTATCGGCTGCGCAAGTGGTCAGCAAGGGTCCGTTTCGGGCCAGTTCGGGCCGGTTTGGCGGCGGGCCGGTTCGGTTGCAGCGGTTCGGTTTCGGCACTGGTCCGGTTTGAGCTGGTTCGGTTCCATGCCTCGATCGGGACGGTTCGGTTTCGGGCGGTCCGTCTCGGGTGACCGAAAGGTTGGAGCGCCAACGAGTAGTGTTGCGTGTTGCGGCCGCGGATCGAACTGCGCAAAAAGCAGGAGTGGGAGGAGGAGGAGGAGGAGGAGGAGGAGGAGGAGGAGGAGGAGGAGGAGGAGGAGGAGGAGGAGGAGGAGGAGGAGGAGGAAGGGGCGGAAAGGGAGGAAGTCCCAGTCGGACCGGGGGGGGTCTGGACTGGGGGGGTCCGGACCAGGGGGTCCGGACCAGGGGGTCTGGACCAGTGGGTCGCGAAGGTCCTCCTCCATTCCTTCTCCTTATAGATAAGTCCTCCCTGTCGCATCCCGAGGCCAGTTTTAGGGCGGGCCGGGCGTTTTGCTCGAGACTTCCTCACCATTTATGATTGTAAAGCTTAAAAAGGGACGCCAGCTTCACAGATGGAGGGCGGGTCGCTTGAAAAATGTGGCTCTCGCTTCAGCGCCGTGCACATTCAATTTGAATAATTGCAAGAACTTCACGGATTGAGGGCGGGTGGTTTTCAAAACGTGGCTCTCGCCTTAGCGCCGCGCACATTCGTTTTAATACTTGCAAGAGCTTCACGGATTGAGTGCGGGTGGTTTTCAAAACGTGGCTCTCGCTTTAGCGCCGCGCAAATTCGTCTAAATATTTGCAAGAGCTTCACGGATTGATTTTTTTGTTTTTCAAAATGTGTCTATCGCTTTAGCACCGCGCACATTCGTTTTTAAACATTTACACGAGCTTCACGGATTGAGTGCGGGTGGTTTTCAAAATGTGGATCTCGCGCCATCGCCGCGCACTTGTTGTAAAACTGTGCACGAGCTTCACGGATTGAGGACGGCTCCTTTGCAAAATGCGGTTCTCGCTTTAGCGCCGCGCACATTCGTTTAAAACATTTGCAAGAGTTTCACGGATTCCCATGATCAACGTACAAGAAATTGTCTTTTGGACGTATTCAGGATTATGCGGGCGCAACAGTTATGTTGATTCGCTGTGTTGCAGTCCCAAAAACGGTGTTCTGGCACGATTCTGCACCGTGAAGACGCAGCAGTCAGCTTGATACGTGGCGTTGAAATCCCGAAACAATGTTTTGGCACGCTTCAGGATCTTCAAACTGTTGTTTTCCAATGAGGCATGGAGGGAGGGTTTATTCCAATTTCGTTGATGATTCTTGGGTTTCCACTGGTCCTCCTCCTTCTCCTCCTCCTCCTCCTCCTCCGCCTCCTCCTCCTCCTCCTCCTACTCCTCCCTCCCTCCCTCCCTCCTCCCTCCTCCTTCCTCCTCCTCCCTCCTCCCTCCTCCCTCCTCCTCCGCCGTTTGGGGGCGTCGCGAAGCGAAGCTCTTTGGGGAGCCTCTTGGGGGCGTCGCGAAACTCTTTGGGGAGGGTCTTGGGGGCCTTCTTCGGGCCATCTTGAACCCTCCTGCGCGGGGTCCCCTAGAGCGGTGTCAGGGTCTCCGAGTGCGGCACCTGGGGACCGGTTCGGTTCCGCCAGTTCGGGTTGACCGTGCGGGCCGGTTTCGATCGGCCGGTTCGGTTCGAACCGGCCGGTTAAGTTTCAGCCGGTCCGGTTTGGGCTCCGGTTTGGGCGATTCGGTTGCAGGATCCGCCCGTTCACGGTCATCAGTTCAGTTCAAATTCTTCTTGATAGGTTGTGCTTTCGGCGGCCGATAATAAAACCGTCTCCTATCGCTTGCGCCATGGGTTGCGCCGTCGGCGGCCGAGAATAGAACCGTCTCCTATCTCCTAGCGGTTGCACCATGGGTTGCACCCACGGCGGCCGAGGAAAAACCCGTCTCCTATCGGTTGCGTCGTAGATTTCGCCCTCGGCGGCCGAGCATAAAACCGTCTCCTATCGGTTGCGCCATGGGTTGCGCCCCCGGCAGCCGAAAATAAAACCGTCTCCTATCGTTTACGCCATAGGTTTAAGTTGGGCCTGCCCCGCTACAGTGGGAAAATATTGAAATGGTAAAAGGATAGTTTGGAGACGATTTCTTGACCATTGAATAGTGTTTTGAATATTTTGGGGACATGTTTTATTTTTCATTCCAAAGCCGCCTGCAGGGGGACATGCCCGACCTAACCATAGGTTGCGCCCTTGGTGGCCGATCGTAAAGCCGTCTCCAATCGGTTGCGCCATAGGTTGCGCCCTCGGCGGCCGAGAATACAGCCGTCTCCTCCCGGTTGCGCCATAAGTTGAGCCCTCGGCGGCCGAGAATAAAGCCGTCTCCTCTGGGTGGCCGAGAGTAAAACCATCGCGTAACGGGTGTGACCAGTCTGTTCAGTTCAGTTCAGTTCAGTTCACCTCGCGAGAAACAAATCCGGGCTACGCCCGACAAGAATGCGCTCCTCGGGATCGCACTAGAACCTGTGTCAGCGCAACACCAGGTCGGCCAGGGCCGCGTCGCGAGTCCAGGCCAGCCACGGAAACGCCGCTCCCAAGTGCGCATCGGCGGAGGGCGGGGGGACGGGATCGGCTCTGGATCGGCCCCCGGGGGCATGCGGAGACGAGGCGACAAGACACATGCCGCCAGGACACCTTCCGCATGGATGTCTTGTCAGGGGGGCTTAGACACCCGCCCTCGACGTCTGTTCATGGGAGCCTCTTAGCCCCCTCGGGACAGGAGCGAGCAGACCACGGGAGGTTGCCCGCTCTTTTCGGCCTTCACTGGCCTTCGGCGGGGCCCCCCTTGGCCGTCAACAACACTTCTCAGGATGAACAGGCGGTCCCAGGGAATGGGTCGAGACTTTGGGGGGTCGACGTCTTGGAGTTGATCAGGATGTCTGTTCATGGGGGCTCTTGGGAGGCGACATCGAAACCACGTTTTCCTTCTTTTAGACTGCATATGGACTGCATATGGCGCTTCCTCCTGCTCCTCCGCGCCCCTCTTGCTCCTCCTCCTCCTCCTCCTCCTCCTCCTCGTTTTTCTGGTTTCCCTTGTGAAGGTGTAAGCTTAGTCCAGCTCCGGCCGACATCTGGTCACAAATTTGTTCCGGATCAGCTTCCCATCAGGCTCAGATCGGACAGCGCCCATGGCTATGGAGGCTCCCGTGGAGTGGACACCGAGCCTTCCCTGGCCTCGTGACAAGCTCGTCCGCGGTGGGGGGTAGCAGAGGAGGAGGACGAGGAGGAGGAGGAGGAGGAAGAGCCTACGGGCACACCCCACGGAGAGGCTCAACGCATGGAAGGCGGTACAAGGTGGACAAGCCACAATAGCCACGATGCCCGTTCCATACCTGGAATGGAAGCCCCATCGGGCATACCTCATGGAGGCGCTGGACTGTTTTTCCTTTTGCTCTGGCCACGGGGCGGTCGCCCGTCGTGTGGCCAGTGCCTCCTAGCCCATGGGGCTGCTGGAGGTACTCTTTCCGTCAGTGAGGTCTCCCTCAATGCCAGCAGCGGTTTCCCAACCGCCGCTGCTGTGTTTTTTCACCAATGTTGTGCGGGCGTCGAGCTCAAAAACAACCAGGAGGGCACAGC